AATTGAGTATGCTGTGATTCAATGGCAACTAGTAGGTCTGGCCCCGGGTATTGATCATGTTAGTGGGAGGCAGTACATGGACTCGAGAGTCCTTGCGGGCAGAATCAGAATAGGTGAAGTTCGAGAATAGCAGTTGCTCTACATGGATAGTGTAGAGTGGAGTTTAGCTCAGTGGCACGCGCAGGTGCGTAAGAGTTGTTGAGTGCATTTCCTGGAAGGGAAAAGGTATGTAGCTCCTCAAGGAGCGTGGGTCGTCTGTTAGGGGAGGAACTGGAGTAAGTGGATGACCGTCGTGCCTCAGTCACTAGTAGGAGGTATTGGATTGTACCAGATATACGAAAGCACCTGCGGGTTGGCTGCTCGTTGAGGCAGTGGCAATTTTGAGTGATGTGCAATCATATTTCTAGCCCCTTGGAAAAGGGAGGAGGTTAGCACCTGCAGATTGGAGATTTGGAGCGAAGGAAGGTGAGACAGCAGGTTATCAAACTCGGGAGTAATTTGGACAGATGCTGAGGGCGGTATACATGATTTCGATCGGAGGCAAAGGACTTGGAGACCATGGTAGGGAATACGCAGTACTAAGGTTGCAAGAACCTGAGTTGATGGGTAAATCGGAGTCTGCAGTGCAGGGGTTGTTCTATTGTGTATGTTGCAGTAGGCTTCGAGGATGAAGCCTAATTTAGTGGGGGAGAATTGTAACACCCCATTCTTAAAATATATATTGACGGGTTCCCGAGATCAGTAAGGGCGTTTCGGTCTTTCATGAGCGATGGGTTATTATTCGGGAAGGTTTTGGATCGAGGTGTGCGGCTAGAAGCGAAGATCTTCTCGCCGCCTTTCCGTGGATATAAAGTTCAACAGAATTGGATCTAGAATGAAGGAGTTATGATGCTTTAAAGATATTGACATTTATGGCCCATAATGGGAAAAGTGAAGAAAATCCATGCATGAGAATTGGACACGCCGGGTACACCCAGCATAGGCTGGGTCACGCCCAGCGTAATCAGATAATGAACGCGGGTCTATGGCGGGTGTACGCCCAGCGTACATCTAGAGTCTTTAAAACCTAATTTGAGGGTGAGCCACTATATATAGAACATTATGGCTTCGACCCTAGCTCCCATATTAGCCTCCCTAGGCTCAGAAGAAACCCTAGAACGTTCCAACCTTCATTTCTAGAGATCTTGGCCTTGGTAAGCTTATCTTGGTGGTTTAAGCTTGAAAGAGGAAAAGAGGGAGTTGTCAAAGAAGAAGTTGAGTGGCTGGAGCTTGTAGATCTAGAAAGGCATCATCTTCTAGAGCCCTTTTGAGGTAAAAAGTCTCTAGCTTGACAATCACATTGTGTAGATCTATGTGTTGTGAAGTTTTGACACCATTCTTGTCCCAAAAACCTCATCTTGATGCATGATTCGAGTTGATCGAGATTAGCTGGCCTTTCAGACCTTATGAGAGGTCTTGAGTGAGAAAAATAAGGTCCCAAGGGCTTTGGCTGTCTCATATGTGATATAAATAGGTCTTAATGGATTAAGACCTTGAATTAAGAGCTTTATGGACGTCCCAGGTAATAAAGGTACCAAGGTCGGACCTTTATCAGATTGTAATTCGGGTATTGTTGTTGTGTTATTGCTTTGCTATGTTTGCATTCTGGTAGTTAGGATGGTATATGTTAGTGACCGGTTAAGTCAGTATCCTGATTAGAGTACGCTATGTATGTCATCTACTAGATCAGTTGAATGATGATTAATTGTTATGTGGTTATATTTTTATGTTCACATGGTTGGTTGACTGGGGTTAGGTTGAGGCGGGTCCTGCTTTGTGCTGTACTCCATCCTGGTCCGAAGAGTTTCCCACAATGAAATCTAAGGTAGGACAGCCCTCCAGCACATCGCAGAGGTTGATGCATATGGAGGACTGCACTCCATTCGCACCAGTCGCCTAGAGCATGCTAAGGAGAGGTCTGCAATGGACCACGAGGCCTTACTTCAAGCATTAGCTGAGACTCGGTCTGAAGTCATAGAGCTCCGGGTTCGCCAGAGAGTCTACAAACGACACCTCCTTGACGTGGAACGTCAATTGGCAGACCTTAGGGTTTGCCCGAGAAACGTCCGCTGCCGCCATTAAAAAGATGTCTAACACATCTTTTCTTTTGAATAAGGAATAGCCTTTAGCATCTACGCTTGAATGAAACACTTGTATGTAGAATATTCCTATCTTTCAGTATGTTATGTAGTCTTCTAAATTGTCAATCATTTTCCCTCATATGGTTTGATGTAAGGTCTACTGATAGGGCATTTTTCCCGAACTTATTTACATCAGTAATACCAGTAGTATTGATAGTCATCTAAACTATTGGAAAAAGTTTATACTCTTATGTTTTCCCTACTCTGCATTATGAATCTATCTGACAATTTGTCTATGATAATTTAATCCATGAAACACTCTCATCATGCTCACAATTGTTTCTCACCATTGTCATCATCTTTATGAATTTTCAGTAAAAGATGCCTCGTCGCAAGCGTCCAACCAGAGACCTGCCTACGAATCAAACTCCACCTCCACCACCTCTTCCTCCACAGTTCGATCCAGTGATGTTTCAGATAGGCCGCAACTGTGACTGCGGCTATGACCAAAATAAATTCTGGTGATGCAAGTGGAGCATGAATGGGCACCAACTCTAGACATGGTGAAATCCACTCTCGTACACAGGGGTGTACCTATAAGGATTTCATGAGCTGCAAACCCACATTCTTCAATGGAACCGGAGGGATCATTGCACTGTCCCAATGGATCGAAAGAACTGAAGCCATCTTTGAGATGTTCTCGTGCCCCGATGTAACAACCCGAAATTTCCATATCATTTATTGTAACTCTTTCGTAGTACAATTCGCACAACCGATCTTCGTTCCGATTTCGATTTCCGATCTTCCGTATAATTAAGTCATTATCTGGTACACATTTAAAATGACTTAATGGGTGTCTTAATACATTTAAAAATCATTTTAACACTCAACTTTAGTGATCGGAATATTTCTAGATATTACCGTATCGGGTTACGGTAACTTAATCGGGTACGACCAAAACCCCGTCTAACGCCGGTATCGGGTAGAATTCCACCGTGTCCAAAACTTAAACACTATATAAACGTGTTTAAGACTTCATTTGAAGCCTTTTGGCAAGTTTCTCACTAAACTCTTACAACCTCTCTCCTTAAGCTAGAATTAAGGTCCAAATCTCAAGTTTAAGGCTTCAAATCTTTAAGGTAACCTCCCTAGCATGTTATTCAGCATCTTTAACCTTCAAATTGATGAAATAATTGAGTTTTAGGTCCAAGAACATGAGTTTACGGCCAAGGAACAAGCTTGGGCCGTAAACTCCATTAAAAGGGGTTTTAAGCCCTTAAACTCCTTCCTAAACTCAATTGGACTTTAGTTATGGCTATGGGACTTCAAGATTTGGACTCTAAACATTTAAAACATAGATTTTGAGCCATTTGAAGGAGTTTACAGCCAAGGAACATTCTTGGGCCGTAAACTCATATAATTAGGGTTTTCATGCCCTTAAACCCTTCCAAATCACTTCTATGGCTTAGATATGAATTATAGGACCTTGGTTTTAGCATTTGGACACTTGAAACATGAATTTTATGGGACTTATGTGAGTTTACGGCCAATGAGAGTGCTTAGGCCGTAAACTCCCCAAAATATGACATAAATCCAATTCTAAGGTGTTAGAAAGCCATCCAACACCACCAAAAGCCTTGGAATAAATCAAGGGACCAACCAAAAATACTTTAAGGGCCTAAAACACATCATTTGTGGGATTTATAAGAGTTTACGGCCAAGGTTTGTTCTTGGGCCGTAAACTCCAAAACTTTTGGTGTTAGAATGCAAACTAAACACCCCTAAATCCTTTAGATGAATTTTAGAAGCCCTTCTATGCAAGTTTTAGACCTTGAAACACTTTGTATGACCCTACATAAGAGTTTACAGCCATGAGGAGGGTCTCATGGGCCGTAAACTCCATAACACCCCTCAAATGTCCCATAAAACTCATGTAAGGTCTTGGAATAATTCTAGTAATCACATGTGATTTGTTTTAACAACATTAAACATCATTTTCACTAAGATTAAGGAGTTTACGGCCAGGAGCCTATATTAGGCCGTAAACTCCCATAAAATAATCATTTTTGATGATTTAAACTCATTCCAAGTGTTCCGAGGCAATTTAGATAATCCATTCTAGCAACCCCTATGTCCATTTGAGCCCATAAACCATCAAAACCACACCCATATGAGTTTACGACCGTAAACTCATGTATGTGTGTGTTCCATAGTTGTAAACTCTTTTAAATGTTTACTTATGGAGAGTAAACTCAAGTCCCAAGTCCCTAGTGCCATTACAAGTCCGAAGATGTCACCCGGGTCACTCCAAACGCTCGTTTTGAGGTGTTTAACCTCATTGGAGTGTAATGTTCCATATGATTAGTGAATGTCACTACTAGAAAAACAGTCTTTTACGACGCTCATTGCGTGTCGTAAAAGGCTCAGACGACGCGCAAATGCGCATCAAGGAAGGCCCTGTCATAAAGAGAGACGACGCGCGTTTACGACACGCAATGCGTATCAAGGAAGGCCCTGTCATAAAGGAATACGACACACATTCGCGTGTCGTAACCTTACGACGCGCGTGTTACTGACACGTAATGCGTATCATTAAAACCTCTGTCAAGAAATGCCATGTTATAAATGAAGATGACACACAATTTTGCATATCGTAAATTTAAATGTTTAAAAAAAATATATTTATATACTTGCATTTAATGTCTCATAATAGAAATAAGATACCATATACAAAAAATACAATCCATTGCATAAAATTTAATGTCATACAATTCTATTTCTTACAATATATAAATTTGCATTCATCTAATTTACTCTTTGTTTCATACTAACAATTGAAATGAAGAATGCAACACTTGCATTTGCAGCATCTTATCTCTTTCAGCTTGAGCTTTCTTTTCCTCTTCTAACTTCAGATCTATTCGCTTTCATCAACCCTGTAAAAACACAACACAAAATCACTTGTCATTTTCATTCTACTTTTAAAATTAATTCGTATTAGGACATTATACTTTTAAACCTACCAATCTAGCAATTTTTTCAAAGAATATAATTTATAATTTTTTTTATGGAAAGTACATTGCTATTTCTTGAATACAAGATGTTACAAACTGTGAAAGAGAAACCCTCTGTCCACTTCCACCATGAAAAGTGGAAAACCAATCATTATATAGCATAGACACCTGGTTTTACAAGAATGAAGTTAATAATGATTAGATTGATAAATTAAGGAGTTAAAAATGAAGAAATATGATGTAATAAGATGAGAAAAATTATTAGGTAACAGTTTAAGAAGATATAAAGGCACCATCATCATCCTTGTTGTGTTGGACATAGAATAGGATGCATACAAACCAGCTTGATGAACAACAAATCAAAATAAATAAATTAACTCATTTCTCATTTTCTAATATATCTTAATGTTAAATATAGAATTTACCTAGCACACCTTGATGAAGATCATAAACATCCTTTCTGATAAAGTAATATATGAGTAATTATAGATTTGTTCTAAGAAATGAACACTATACTTTCTAATTTCAACTTAACATTGATATGGCATAGAAACTTACATTCTCTTGTACCAAATAATTTCTAATTTACTCGTAGTAGCAGTAACTATATCTTCATTTTATTTTTTTATTTTTTTTAATCCTCACAAGTATTTATAATCATTATCTCTGACTATAACACTAACCGGTAAGAAGAAGGCTTTTCCCTGATACTATCTCGCAAGTCAACTTTCTGGCTAATAAATTCTGTGTTGGCGTGATAATATCAACCTCCGAAAAAGAGATAACATCCTTAGATTCCTCATTGGACTTTGATGAAGTACCGGCATTTTCATCTGCAATTTCCATCAGATTATTAGTAAATAAGGAAGAGCCTAGAAGATTAGATAAACCACTAACCATATTGTGTAGCATCAAGAAGTTCCTCAAGTTCAAAAATCCAATGAACACCACCAGACAGTTCGATGAACTTTCTATGCAGCTCCAAGATGTCACCAAAGGCCAAGAAGCTTTGAGATACAACTGATGCCAAAAACCGCAATGCTTGTGCAAGCTCACCTGCTAACAAAAAAATCCACTCACATCCAAACAAAAAAAATAAAAGCCTAAATTTCATTAGGTTCAGGTAATCGATTCACAACTACTAAACTATTTCCAATTGTGGTAAACAAATGTCATGATGAATCGGAATTGAGAATGGGAATTGACCTTGAGTGGAAGTCAATGAACGATCAACTTTGTGCTCCATAGCATATAACAAGCTCAATCCCCAAGTAACATTGTGGGGTAGTTGTTTGGTGACAAAGTCATCCAGTACTCCAAATAACCATTTCTTCCTCAGAAGTATTTTAGCATGAGCAAGAAGCTCATTAAATCTTGACTCAATCATCTGTCAGACAAACCATATTCAAGTAGTATTATTATTATTAATATTATATTCCAAAATTCTCCTTTGTGGAAGGAAATATAAAAAAGAAAGAGGAGAGGAGTTACCACTTTTTCTCGAGCACCACCTCCAAAGGAAGCAACAGATTCAGCATGTGTACGCAGCCTCTCGTGCATGGAGTCAAATACCACCTGGATTAGCATTTCCAGCAATCTACAGGGCATTTGAGTTGGCAAGGTATGAATTTGTTGGTGTCACAGCAAGAATTAAACAGTTGGGAGCCTTAATGCATGACATTATCATTGTTCTGATGCCAGAGTTATGTCAAGAACATTAGGAGAGAAAATCTTTAAACGAATTTGCTTGTCAGAAACACCCTTGTTTCCCCTGCTTCCCTGTCAGCCTCAGCCTATAGTATCCAGATTGTAAATTAAGAATTCAGTGATCTAATCTCACTTGACAAGAATATAAAGTGCTTGAACTTTCTATTTAGAGGCTCATGATCATACATAATTCAAGGACACAATTACTCTGTTAACATGTAAACAACAAAATTCTATCAGATGAAAGTTTCTGTAGGTAGTAAAATTGGTCTAGGGAACTAATTTTATGAATATGAACAATGATTTTACTCCGTATTAATCTTTCACAGGTAGTAGAGTTGAACAAGCTATGATATAATATCACTGAAGCAACAATCCCTTGTTCACCAAACTTGGCTACACTTCCATGACTCAAATGTTGAGACAACTGATTTATACATATCCAAGATCAAGTCATTGGCCTTATCTCCAATAGCATTAATAGCAAGCCGATGAAAAAAATTGCTCAACTAGTAAGTCATTTTACATATTTACAACCACATTTTTAAAGATAAATGAAAAAATAAAAAAAAAATACCTGGAGGCCATATTTGTCGGATTGAACAGTCATATTAGATAAAATTTCCATATCTGTAACTTGGAGGCCATATTTATACCTCCATTTACTTGTAACTCCAACTAATTTTAAAGCTAAAGAGTTAGCCAATCCCATGTGGCCATCCATTCTTGAAAGCCATACCTGTCAAGATTGAAAAGACTAATTGTGATTAAGTGGGGTTTAATTACAGTTTATATAATTTGTATTTAGTTTTTTCTTACAGGATGATGAGGTGTAATATAAGCATATCATAGTTGGAAGTACATTAAAATTTAAGTCTTGATGAGAAAAAAATAGAATTTTCAAAATACAATTAATGGCTTGTAAGATAAATATATTTAAAGTATAATGTTATAATGATGAAAGAAATGCACAAATAAATTAAAGTATGTTGCTATGATTTGCATTTAGCCCTAAACTGAAAAGAACAAAACACAAATGTTATATGTATATCATATGAAGAAGGTGAGGGATTTTAGAACCTGGAGTCCTCCAAAAAGCAAATGGACATCAGAATCAATAAATCCATGGATCAACAACTTGGTCTAGAAGGCAAGTGAAGATGGTTTTCACGTTGGTTGCAAGATTACCAGGCTGTACACAATCCATCCCATGTCCTTTCTTCAACAACACTTCAGATCAGGGGCAATATAGTCGGTGTCCCCACTGTTGAAAACGCCTTCTCTCACATAAACAAGCAATCTGTGGTCATCTTCACATCAATATCCAATCAATTTCACCAAATTGGGATGTCTGAGCTGACCAAGGAAATTAACTTCAGTCTACAACAAAAAACGCCAATACAGATATAGATTAGAATGGTATAAGGAAGATAAAACAAAACAAAGAACTAGTTGTTAGAAGGACAGAGAACTAGAGGAGCTTACAAGCCATTCTCTATGGCCTTGAAGACCCTCCTTGTTGAGAACCTTAACAGCAACAGGCAGAGATTTGAGACCAACCCAAACATTCTTATCAATATAGCCCTTGTAAACAGCCTTTGTTACAGAATTACCTGTCATGAGGGCAATATCTTGAAGTAAAGCTTTCTTTCGTTCCCCAACACCAGGACATTTCACAATAGCAACCCTAAGTAAACCTTGATTTTTGTTAACAATTAGGGTTTCAAGAACTGAGATTGAGATATCTTCAGCAAAAATGAGCAAAGGGACACTTAATTGAGTACACTTTTCTAGCAATGGGACAATTTCTTTCACAGATGATATCTTTTGATCTGTTATCAGGACTTTAGCATTTTCAAATTCCACAGACAAATTGTTCTGATTTGTGACAAAATGAGGAGACATGTATCCTTTGTCGATCTGTAGGGAAAGTATTCCTGAATAGACATTAAAATATGAAAATGAAAAAGATAAAAAGAATGTATGAATAAATATCACAAGATGTATTTCACTTGATACCTTCATTCCTTCTTCAACAATCACAGAAGTTTCACTTGATGAAGATGATTCAATAGAAATTATTCCATCATGACCGATTTTATCAATGGCTTCATCAATTAAGTTTCCAATAAATTCATCATTTCCAGCAGAGATGGAAGCTATGGCTGTGAACAGGAAGAAAAGAATCTTTAGAGTTTAGAGAATCTGATGAAAGAAAACACTAAAAAGAAAAGAAATTTACCTTTTATATCATCTCTTTTGCTGACTGGAATCATTTTCTTTTTCAAAACTTTGATCAATTCTTTGAGACAAACAATTTTGACCAATAAGAACATTGACCACAAATCAAATATATCTTAACAGTAAACAGGGGAAGAAAAGAAGCATACTAGCAAAGAATAAGACCAGGACCGAGTCGAGAAGTACTAACCCTCGTAGATGTCGAGGAGTGTTGGAGGGATTACGGAGAATCAGATAAGGTCGGCGGAGAAGGAACCTTAACAGATGAAGAGGGTGTCAGTGGGATTACGAAGAAGCAGCTCCATCGAGCTCACCCTAGCACCGACTTTGAATGGAGAATGCGAAATCTTGCTTGGAAGGCAACGGATTACTGACGTACCATAGCAGAATGAAGACGGAGTACTTCCACGATGAAGAAGTCGGCTTTCAGTTCATGCATCGTTATCTTTGAGTTGTGAGAGATATTACACTAAGAAATTGAAAGAGGATGCGATGGAATGATGAGTGGGAATAAACCCTAAAAATGGATCGACAAATTTGCCCCTGAAATTTGGTTTACCGCGCTGCTCTCATTATCTCCGGATGAGCTGCCAGTGAGAACCCCGGCACCAGAGGACTCTCCGACATCTTCTCTACCACTGCTCGTCTCGACGTTGACGATGGCGGAGGGTCGGCGATGGCGGAGGGTCGACGACCATGAAAGAGCACATAGCGGTGGCCGGAGTGCGAGGGGAGTAGTTGGCGGTCGATGTGGGGAGGGGAAAGATGTATCGTCGATTGTGGGGATAAAGAACGATGCGTCAAAAAATGCTTAGGGCAAAGAGGAAAGAGGGAAGGGAAAGCGGGCTTTTCTAATATTTGGGTTTTCTTTTCCCGCTTGCAACTAAACAACCCGTGTTTCATTAAAAAATATAAAACGACATGTCTAGATGACGCACATTTTATAATAAGCGCCCTCCGTGTTTTTTTTCTGACACTAATTTTAGGGTACGCAAAAATGCGCGTCTAAAATCCTTAAAATTTTTAAAGAGCTGACATTATTTTTAGGTTACCCACTTTTGCGTGTTATAAATCAATGCGTATCATAAATTGCGTGTCGTAAAAGGCTGTTTTTCTAGTAGTGTGTATCTCTAATTGTATATATATGGACATTATATCATTTTACATAGGGTCATCGCGAGTAATCAAACCCGGAACCAACGTATAGCATTCAAAACCGACACGTTTCCGAGTCCGGTGAGTTCATACCCCTACCCTTTTTCACTGTTTTCCACTGTTTTTAGGGGGGGAACACAAGCAAAGTACAAGGGAATTCTTGTACTCAAAACATGTTTTCAAATGTGTGTTTCATATTCTTATGCATTTATAACTGATATTACAACTGATAACAGATTGAACATACAGATCACGTAACATATATTTGTGAAATAAGTCTTTAAACTAGTATGTTTTACATGTATTTCACAAATGGTTTTCCAAATTTTATCAGTTAAAAGCACGACATTAAAACATTTGAACATAATACCTGTACACTGTTTTGTCCTCGGTAACACTCCCCACACATATACGAGTGGAGGACTATCATATTATTACTAGTAAATTTGTTATTCCTGTATGATTGGAGACACGTCCTCGGAGAACACTCCACCCAGATTACGCGAGTGGAGGACTACACCCATAACCAGAATCTCTAGTACTTAGAGAGCGTGACTTGAGTGTATAGATCTATACGGGGCTGACTACCCCACACCTGGCTGCTAGCTACAGCCGAACCGAAATGGTTCAAGGGTGACGAAAGTCATAAGTATGTGGACGACTTATTGCCACATGTGGACTACTTATTGCCACAGGTTTCAGTCTATTGTATGGTTATGGAACTCGCAATTAGGATAACAGAGATTTATTTACAGTAATAATGGATTACTTTATACATCGTTTACATCTTTGACATCTTTTACATCTTCTACTTACTATAACCAACATTCAGGAAGGTACGGGACTTTCCTGGGGAAAACATAGAATCTAATCACGATTACATCTTTTACATCTTTAACATCGTTTCCATTAGATACATACATGCAGGAAACAGGGGCTTTCCTGGGTAACATTTACATAACTAGAAAGAGTAACAAACTGGAGAACATTACATCTTTTACAATTTGTAACATACAATAAGGAAAGTATGGACTTTCCTGGTAACACATGATAAGTAAACAGAACAGTTCAACCGGTCAGATAACCAACTATACATTTTCACATGAATAAACATATTTTCAGTGTACAAACTTACTATACTTTACATTTGTGAAACAATAACCAACGTTAAGAAAATACGGGATTTCTTGTGAACATAACATTTCAGATACAGAAAGGAAACCGATACATTTTAATAAAACAAAACCGCTTATGAACACACCAGCTTTATGCTGATTTTAAACCGCTTGTGTTCTCAGGTCAGCGTTAGAACAGGTACCCGAAGATCCTTTTGCTCGAAGACGGAGTACATGAAGATCCGTTTCATTTGTCTATATATATACTATGTATCACAACTGTACAAACTTTATTTTTGAACAACTGTAAAACTTTTATTATATAATGTTTTGGTTGTTTTACTTTACTTACTATGTGCATTGGATTTGATACTCAACATGGAGTCAACCCCGGAAATGATTCCGCCTTCGGTTTTCGGGGTGTGACAGATTGGTATCAGAGCCCTTGTTTATAGTGAATGAAGTATACCAAACCTTACATGTATAAAACTATAAAAACTAAAGGGCCTAAGTGCTCTGAATTAAAAGTATCTTCAAACTACAAGTATTTTCAAAAGTATACAAGTATACCGAACCGTCGTCATCCGTAACCACAAGTAGAACAGAACATAATAAATGGGTGTTGTGTACTACGGTTAAACCTGGGCAGTTATGTAGTCGTGTCTAGGATCAATATAGCCTGGCCAACTATATTCATTCGAGACACGGCCAACATGTGCTTGGGAGTGACTGTGGTATGTGACATGCCTAAAACTTACCCTAATATCCCAACATCGAATCATTGTCGTAAACAATTCATGAAATACTATGGGAGTATTTCTCGATCCCGATCCTCTGTAGAAATCCTCATTCGAGTGATTTTCTGTGATTACTCTTAGCGATAAATTATCTGTTCGATAACTTTTTCCTGCTTTATCGCTTACTCGAATCATATAACTGTCATGTCTATCGATTCAATGTAGAGGAGTTACCATCCTCTTTTCCTTGATCTTATTAGATCTAGATGCCTCCCCGAAAGAGACAACAACTCAAAGAACAACGACAATCCTTCTTCGCCGCACCTCCTCCCCAGTTCGATCTAACATCGCTCCAGACAATGAGGACCGCTGCAATGGTGGCAGCTATGTCACAAATGAACCCTGGTGGTTCAGGTGGTGGTACTCAATCTCAAAATCCTGAGGGTAGCCAGGGACACCAAAGAGGGGGTTCCTAC